AATTAATTATTTTAATAAGTTCGATAAAACCTACGTTATTACGAAATATGCCCCGTGGTGTTTTTTCGTGTGAACATTTGAGTTGCCTTTGCATGTGTTTGTGACGGGTGACACCGGTTAGGCAGAATACACTCACCTTTACGCGATCATATGGTATCATCATTAATTGACTGTGAATCATATACGCTTACGACACAGTTGGAATCCTATAATGGACTTTGCTTTTAGCAGAGATATCTGATGATTATGGAAATGAATTTGTCTCTTTTATTTTCGAAAGATTCCAGACACTGGAATAAAACACCAAATGTTTAAACTTACTTTCTTATAAATGTACACATAAATTTACATACATGTGTGTAAATGCGTACATTATTTTACGTAAAAATGTATACACGTAGACAAATATTTACATAAAGGTTTGTAAAGGTGCACATTAATTTACGTAAAAGTGTAGACAAATATTTACGTAAACGTATGTAAATTTGCACATTAACTTACGTAAAAGTGTATACATTCAGACAAATATTTACGAAAAGTTGTGTAAATGCGCACACTAATTTACGTTAAAGTGTATACATTTAGACCTATATTTACATAAGGGTGTGTAAATGTGCACATTTATTCGCAAAAAAAGTGTATACATTTGGACAAATATTTACGTAATGGTATGTAAACGTGTACATTAACTTACGTTAACGTGTATACAAACAGACAGACATTGGCGTGAAGTTATATAAATTTACATACACATTTCCGTACAGGTATGTCAATTTAGACGTACATTTAGGCAAATGTGTATACCTGTTGTCCTTCCTTTATATTGTTGTGCCCACGGCCATAGGATTCTGGCACCCTACGGGATGCAACGCTGCACAGTAAATTCCAGTGCCTTAGTCGACTGGGAACCTTTACATTCTATAATACGTAGCATGGCAACAATGTCGCATCGCATGATCAGTATATTCATTAAACGGATCTAGTTTGGACCTCCTGAGGTTTATAAAATAGACCACAGACGCTGGAGTTCACCTCTCTTATTTAAATCTACCTACACATTACTGAGTGAGTGAGGATGGTTTTACGCCGCTTTTAGCAATATTCCAGTAATATCACGTCGGAGGACACCAGAAATGGGCTTTACACATTGTACCCATGTCGGGAATCGAACCCGAGTCTTCGGCGTAACAAGCGAACGCTTTAAACAACAAGCCTACCCCAACGCCCTCCCTTCCCATTAAATATCAGTCAGATACAGTTTGTATTACAGCTGTATGTATAAACTTCCGGGCTTAGGCAAGTTTTGTTTGTTTGTTTGTTTGTTTGTTTGTTTGCTGCACTCAGCAATATTCCAGCCATATGACGGCGGTCTGTTCGCGGTTAATCGAGTCTGGACCAGACAATCCAGTGACTGATATCATGAGCATCGATCCACACAATCGGGACCCAGTTAGCGGGCTTGACCACCTGATCCCATTAGTCGCCCTTTACGACAGCATCTGTCGCCCTTTACGCAAAGCATGGGTTGCTGAACACCTATTCTAACCTTGATCTTCACGGGGCTAAAGTAAGTATACATCCACGTTTGGTGGTGGCTAAAAATGAAAAACACCCAGAAATAGTCATTCGATGGTGGAAAACTTGCGACTCAATATGAATAATTTTAAGATTTACAGTATTTGGTGTGTGTGTGTGTGTGTGTGTGTGTGTGTGTGTGTGTGTGTGTGTGTGTGTGTGTGTGTGTGTGTGTGTGTGTGTGTGTGTGTGTGTGTGTGTGTGTGGGGGGGGGGGGGGGGGGGTCATAGTTCCGTTGGCAGTTCTGCGACTGTTTTCAGCCAAGTAACGTCTGACAGCGTTTGTAATGTTTTAGTCAAATCCAATTTTGACATTTTATACATTTTGTGCCCGGCAGTTTGTCTGAGTCGAGCGTTAAATATGCAACATTAATGTCAGGAATGTGATCAGATTAGAAAAAAGATATGATCAACACCAGCTATAACAGATATGAATCGGGTATTTATCTTGATCTGATGTTCTGATATTTAATACACGTGGGCAGACATGTCTATTATTTGGAAGATTAAATATTCCCTTTCCGCTTCAGCATCGGGTTCACCAATTACACAAACACCCACGAAATAAGGTGGGAGAAACTGCTCTTGAGTTATTTTCTTCAAGGGTTACGAATAGTGTATGGACCGTGGGTTGGATATGATCAGAAAATCTATCTAATCGATTTTTAATCTAATTTATATACATAATTTTAAGTGCCTAGATAGGAATACATACTGATAAACACCCACTCCTTTACAAGCGAAATTCTTTATTTCTCGTATTTCCCTGAAATTGATTTATAAGCCGAGAGATGATAACTCGATATTTGCCAGAACTTATCATTATTCCGACCATATACGCGTTGTCTTTCTCCGTGTGGTGTCTGGTATTGATACTGACGACATAAAGAAACAAATCAATTGACCAGACATGACCAACATAAGGTGCAGTACTGTCAGCAATATGACTTCCCAGTGGAGACCCGTTATAAGATAAATCCCCTTTCCCTAGTGCTTGTCGGAAAAGGCAAATAGAACTGCCGGTGTGGCAGGACGAAATCACCTCCCTTACATGTCACTCTAGAGTGACCTGATCCTGGAACTGACACACTCTGGGGTGACATTAGAGTGACCTGATCCTGGAACTGTGAAATTTACGGGAAGTGACTTTATCCTGTTACACCGGGCAGCGATTGTGCTAAGTGGGAATTGTCCTCTCATGATAAAAAAGGGGCGGTCGGGTAGCCTAGTGGTTAAAGCGTTCGCTAGTCACGCCGAAGACCCGGGGTTCGATTCCCGACATGGGTACAATGTGTGAAGCCAATTTTTCTGGGGTCCCCCGCCGTGATATTGATGGAATATTGCTAAAAGCGGTGTTGTTAACCAAGTTGTTAATCTCCAACACTAACATTCATTTCATGTAGAAAAATTAAAAGTTCATGGATTAGATAACAAGCTACAGGCTTATGTAAAATGTTCATTCTTTTCAGAAATGTTCTTCATGACCTTTTATTATTGAATATCGCTCAATGCTTATTTTATCGCGCATAATTTTTAATAGAGTTTTCAAGCTAAGATTAAATAAATGCATAAATGAAGTATTGAAACAGTGAACAATTTAAAGGGCTTTGTTCAGTTCAACTCAATTCAATTTATATTTAGTAATTCATGAGGATAGGGCGCTGCTTATCGCCAAACCATTGCGCAGAAAGTATAAGGGGGGCGTTTTCATCATGCAAAGGGGGAGTGGTGTGATCCTTGTGGGAGTGATTTGAGTCTTGGATGAAATCCCCTTCGAGTGATTTGATCCTGGGGAGTGACCAGATCCTCCAGCACCGGGCAAAAGAAGCACTTGAAAATTGGATTTTACCAAACAATTACAAACGGTATCAAGACGTCTCAGGCTGAAAACAGTCGCCGAAACACTGTAAACTTAAGGTCCCAAACACACATTTACTTGATCAAATACGTCACCGTTGTATAACCATTTCTTGCTAATTACTTTTTATTGTATTGCGGCCATGAAATAAACTTAAGATGTCACTAAAATTATGATATATTATCTTTCTTCTGTATGGTTTATGTCATTTGTTTTTATTTCTTTTGCAAATTGTATTCAGCAGCTGTCAACAGCGAGCAAAGAATGACCAAGAAACGAGCCTTTCTTAAAGTGTTGTAAAACTTACTACAAGGAAAGTAAATGTACTACTCCAGTAATGAATAAATGTTATAGTCTACAATAGCCCACCGACTACTCTAATTTGTAAAACATTTACTGCTTGGTAAAGTCTACTGACATATAAGTATCTGAGTGGACGCTGAAACTCACTAAGTTGGTAAACCTTACTAGCTATTTCAGTCAGTGTGCGTACAACGTGGGCAGTTCTACCAAGGACTATTTCAGCCATTGTGCTTACAACGTGGGTAGTTCTACCAAGGACTATTTCAGCCTTTGTGCTTACAACGTGGTTAGTTCTACCAAGGACTATTTCAGTCATTGTGCTTACAACGTGGGTAGTTCTACCAAGGACTATTTCAGCCACTGTGCTTACAACGTAGACAGTTCTACCAAGGACTATTTCAGTCATTGTGCTTACAACGTGGGCAGTTCTACCAAGGACTATTTCAGCCAGTGTGCTTACAACGTTGGTAGTTCTACCAAGGACTATTTCAGCCATTGTGCTTACAACGTGGGCAGTTCTACCACGGTGACTGTACAAAGATGATATAAATCTGGGCAATCTGGTTATAAACGGAGAACTTTCCGGTTGTTTAAAGATAGCCTCTGTATTTCATATTATGTACGTTATATTTGGAACGGGCTCTCTCTAGCCAAGCTCCGTTGTCGTACGCTCCCTTGGGAACTAGAGCAGGACGCTTTTCACGCCCAAAAACCCTTCTCTCTGAACGTATTTGTAAATTCTGTAGCCTCCGCAGTGTTGGCGATGAAGCTCATTTTTCAGTTACCTGTAAATTCTGTTCTGATATAAGATCGGATTTATTTCATCAAGCCTCTTTAATTAAGCCTGTGTTTGTTGACATGGCTCCAGTTGATCAATTCGCCTTTTTATTGCAGCGTGATGCGTTATCGTTAGTCCTTGCCGATGTCGTGAACACTATGTTTAAGCGGAGGAAATGTCATCCCTCTCAGTTCTTAGACTATAAATACTCCTAGTTGAATTGAATTAATAAGGTTGATGTGATATGTTTGTGATATGTTTGTATCTGCAAATATCTTAACTACTATTTTTAACATGTATTGATATTTTAGCACGTTGAGTGCTCTTATTGTATCATCAAGTTAATATTGTGTCTCATAGGCCGTACGGTATATTATATTGTTTTGATAATTGTGATAATTCCAGTATAACATATGCCGTGTGACACATTAATGAAATAGTATATTATCTTAATATCAATAATGATAGACTCCCAATCACAACTCACCATGGTCTGTCTTTAGCAGGTTCATCTTCAGTATCCTATGAGGAAGAAAGAGAGGATGCATAGCGGTAAATCATTATTCAGTGCGGAAGTGAATATGCATTGTGTATGTAAACATTTTATAAATGATCATCCAACAAAACCACATAGATACACCTCGTGAACTCGAAATCGAATTTGGAAAATGTTAACTTATCCATAGTTCGAGACAAGAGTTACATCGTCTTATATATGGCTGACTTTAGCATCGTATTGATACAGCAAACCCCGTTAATCCGGAAGGTAGCTTTAGCTGTGAAATATTTCGTATTAACAAATTTCGGATAATCGAGTCATCCCTACAAACTAGTGTTGCGGTGTATATATGTAGACGTTGCGGGCAATACCTGTCCAGATTGAGAGGATTCCGGTTAAATGGGGTCCGCATTAGCGAGGTTTCAATGCATTTCCCTACTTCACCAACATATGTCAAATATTCAGTGTCATTTACTTCCTAAAAGGAACAATGGATTTGCATTCATGGTAGAGGAAGACACCCTCACACAAACACCAAATACCTTTTAACATGTTAATAGAACTGAAAACAATTCTCAAAATATGAACATTATCAAGACGTCGCATCCAATACCATGAGTCGTCTGTCATATTTTGCTTCAACATTTCCTTTTATGATGTATGTGTTTGTAATCGTTTAAATTGCGAAGCATCATTAAAATGTATAACCACGTTATGCACCGACGCTGTGTCGCTGTTTAGGAGCTTCCAACTCTAATGTTACAACTGTTACTGTTCGTTATATTTGTTTAAGCATGAAGGCAACAGTGCATCGTAGCTGTTAATCCGCTGTGCTGCCAGATAATGCATGAAACAACACGTCGAGCTGCTCATGACAAACTACTGTCGTTTCTAATGACTTTATCGACATTTATAGCTAATGATTCCAAATTCCCCAATGTCCTAAATGGCAGTGATGAAGAAACAGATAGCAACAGGCTTACAACGAGATAGTCAATATTTGATAATCATTACGCCTATCAATCAAAGGATTATTTTTTTCAAAGAGTGAAAAATTATTACTTTAACTCTCCCTTGGACGAAACAGAGTGGAATAATAAGATGATCATGAATTATTGCTGACTAGGTTTTATCTTTGATGCCAGCAAACTCAGTAATGAGAAGGTACCGAAAAGCCGTTTTAATTTAGCGAAGTGGCCCTTGATTTAATACCGCGGTCATCGTTGATAACGATTCAATACCTGTAATGGGTTTTATATCCGCCATTGTAGCCATTATACAGAGATTTTGTATAATTAAGAAGTAATCTTGTGTAATCACAAAGTGAATTTGTTCAATCATGAAGTGATATTTTATACTCACGAAGTGATATTGGATACTCATGACGTGATATTGTTCAATCGTGAAACGATATGATATCGTGATGAAGCGATATTCTTTAATCATGAAGTGAAATTATATAATCGTGAAGTGATATTGTTCAACCATAGAGATATTGTTCGACCATGAAGTGATATTGTATAATCATGAAGTGACATTGTATAATAAAGAAGTGATCTTGTATAATTATGAAGCGATATTGTATAATCATGCAGTGATGTTGTATACTCATGAGTGACATTGTATAATCATGAAGTGATATTGTATAATCATGAAGCGATATTCTTCGATCATGAAGTGTCATTGTATAATCATGAAGTGATATTGTATAATCATGAAGTGATATTGTATAATTATGAAGCGATATTCTTCAATCATGAAGCGACATTGTATAATCATGAAGTGGTATTGTATAATCATGAAGTGATATTGTATAATCATGAAGCGATATTGTATAATCATGAAGTGATATTGTATAATCATGAAGTGATATTGTATAATCATGAAGTGGTATTGTATAATCATGAAGTGATATTGTATAATCATGAAGCGACATTGTATAATCATGAAGTGGTATTGTATAATCATGAAGTGATATTGTATAATCATGAAGTGATATTGTATAATCATGAAGTGATATTGTATAATCATGAAGTGGTATTGTTTCATCGTGTTTTCCGTGATATATTACAGAAACTGGAGACCTTAACGAGTATGCAACTTACATACTTTTATAACACTGACGTGTGGCTACTCCTTGGCATCGTTGCAAATGTAAAACATAAATGCATTGCAGATATTCATATGGCTTTCAGATCTTAGATACTGGTTCGAAAAACCTCACCAGATATTGGTGGACAAAAAACGTTTTTTTAGACTGTGAGGTTTCTATCAGCAAAGAATGGGAGATAATTACATATGGTGATGCTTTTGCATAAACCGCGTAAAATCAGAAGAATAATAGCTGATTTAGGAGGTGGTGTTGGAGCGAAACACAGCTAAAGTAACTCAGACAGTTTCTGTATCGAGTTTCCAAGAAAATCCGCAAGTTAGAAGTTTTCGAAATATGATTATGTAGAAGATGGGAAAAAGCTTACAGAAAACTGTAGTTGATCCCACGGCAGATCAAGGTCGTCATGGCAACGCTGTGAATGAATGACGTCAGCTGATCGATCGTAGCACTCGAAAAAGTCCGACTGGGTTAACTCTCGTTTGGAAACTAATTCACAATGATTGAAAAGTTTGACTTTTCGTTTTTTCTTGTCGTTCACTGGATGTTCTTGTACCGATTTATCACTTTCCTCCTCTCTAACGTTGATGAATCGACTCGAGCTCTCATCAGAAGAATCCGAGCTTATTCTGTCGCCAGACGCCGTGACAACAGTTTCGATGACGTCACTGTTTTCTGTGCTCAGACGTCGCACATCTTCAAGATGGCGGAAGAGACGATGATTGCGTAGCAACTCATCCGGGAGATCCTCGTTTTCAAGGTTAAGCCTGACGTAGTTATAACATACATTTTCATCGTCATCTTCACTGTAATATGACATCTGACTTTGACTTTTTTGAGTAGGACACGATACGGACAAAAAATCGGAAGAATTGTCTGCGGAGAAATCAGACACGTCAAACTGTCCGATATCTGTGTTTCCTTGACGTGCATTTATAACACATGACGCTGAACGAAAACTCTCCCCTGTTTCCGAGAGATAATCACGTGACAGGTGCGCTACTGCTGACTGCAGTGTGGAATTATGGGAAGAAATTGTTGACATTGTCTCCCCATCTGAAAAGTCAGCGTTATGTCCATAATCTCTGTTTTCAGTCTCAAGATCAATTCTTTCTCCGATATCGGAACTGATTGTCGCGTAATCAGGGGATTTTTGAGCACTGAGGGGAGTCTTCCGTGCCGCGGGGGTTCCTTCGCCGATTACAGACCTTACATTTTTTTCGATTTTCGTTTTTTCGTTTTCATTACATTCAGCGATAGCAGAATTTTGTCTTTCGATTGAATTTTTATCAATAACAGCATAGTCATGTGACATTTTAGGTTGAAGCTGTTCATGCGCCTGTCTTGTTCCATCTGATGGTGGTTCGGTCACGTGATCTATCGGTGCTGCATCTCTGTCAAGAGATATATAATCATGGGACGATGTTTGGTCTCTGTTCAGAGATCTTGGTAAACTCGTATGGCCATCATCAGCACATCGTATCGATTTTGGCCGCTGTCCAAGTCTGGCAGTGATCGTGTGTTTGGTCGCTCCATGTGACAAACTGCCCGCGGTAATGACTGCTCCAGAAGTTGTTCCCTTCCGCTCCGGATGCCTGCTACGTACGTCATCGGCCGCGGCAACAACACCGCCGTCTTGACAAGTAGATCTGACTTGAACTTGTCCTCCGTTCCTCAAACGCCGCGATGTTTTGACTGAAGTCTTTGCGCCTTGGTTAGATGTTGATGTCTCAAGGGTCGGGCGACTAAGGGCTTTCTTCACTTCGCGTGTCATGTCAAAGTCTGGAGTGTTCCATGACTCGTGAACGTCTTTCAACAGAGACCTGTTAAACAAATGGGATTTTTTCACAAAGAACATTGTTACAAAACATTGTGTATGTTTTTGTTGATCCAGTCTTACTTCATTTATGTGTACATATAATTTTGCATTGGATTAAAGATTTTCTGTTCTGTCTTAATAAACAAAGATAATATCATCCATTAATATATATATATATTTCCTGATTAAAAACGTCCTTGACTTTCTCAAGGCCTTTAACCCGCGGGAACTGGTTTTGAAGAAGTCGAAGGATTTTGTCGCTCTTATTTTAAGATCTAATTACATTAGATCGGGTGGTCAAAATAGATGACTTGGTTGACTTACTAATTGCTCTTACTTAAATGGCGGCAGATCGACGTTGCTCATAATATCAACCACTGGTTCGACAGGTCCACGTTTCATTTTTTACATCTCGCCGTGATATAGAGTGAATATTTTTTAGTGCGGCGTAAAACAAGAAGAAAAACAAAGCAAACATCCGGACTCTAAATCACATTATCCTGATTCTGATCTTCTGCGTTAAAGAACACTGAAATAGTTTTCAAGTTCCAAACCAAAATAACAAGTTACCTGGTTGATTCTCGGGCGTTCTCAATATCAGTCACCCCTTTACGTAAAGGAGTAATGTCCCTTGACTGAAGGGCGTGTGCAATGTCGTCAATTCCCCGGCTTAAGCCAAAGCTATCAGATCCAGTGTGCATCATTGAGGACAACATTGATCTGAGCTGTTTCAACTTTTCATCACAGGCCCTGCAAGAGATAACACACTGTATTAACCCTCCTTTGGTTCGTGATATTCCTGAATTGAAGTGTCCTTACTACATTTGTATACATGTCACATCAAAGAAAAATACTCCAAGCCACATTGTAACGACATGGATGCACTGGCTTTAAGCTTTTAGTGACAAATATTTGTGAAATAAGCTGAATTAAATTGCTTTCTCCATGTCCAGAGTTTTTGAGTGAGTGATTTGGATTTAACGACTCGTTTTATAAGGTAAAATATATATCAGAGCCTGTTGGCTCGTGGTGGGCGGAATAAAAACTACATCTCTTACCTGTGCCAGGATCCAGTAAGTCGTGAATATGTGTACCACAGTTGCCGTAATAATAATCCTTCTTATTGTCACCGCCGTATCATACGCTCCTTGGTTTCCACAAGGTGGTATTCGTCTGAGATCCGTGTTACTGTGTGCGTTCCTAACCTAAACTCAACTGTTGTCCTTAATAGAGTAAACTACGTTTATAACGAACACGCTTATAACGAACTTGCGGATGTTTTTTTGGTCCAAGCCATTTGCTGTATGTATGGTGTTTATATGTTTATAACTACGGTTACAACGAACTAAAATTAGTGGTCCCTTTGAGTTCTTTATAACCGTAGTATATTGTATATCTCGCATGTTTCTTTGCTGTACCTTCCCTGTTTACTTACTATATCTCATATGTCTTTCTCGATACATCTCATATGTCTTTCTCGATACATCTCACATGTCTTTCTCGATACATCTCATATGTCTTTCTCAATACATCTCATATGTCTTTCTCAATATATCTCATCCGTTTTCTGGTCATACCTCACATGTTGTCCTAACTATATCTCATCTATATTCCTTGCTTTATCTCACTTGTTTTCTTGCTTTATCTCACTTGTTTTCTTTACAATATCTTATCTGTTGTTCTGATTATATTACACATGTTCCGTCTATATCTCACCGCATACGATAGTCTACCTGTATTCCTTGCTGTTTCTTACTTGTTTTCCTCAGAATATCTCACTTGGTTTCCTCAGTATATCTCACCAGTTTTCCTCAGTATATCTCACCTGTTTTCCTTAGTAAATCTCACCTGTTTTCCTCAGCATGTCTCACCTGTTTTTCTAAGTATATCTCACCTGTTTTCCTCAGTATATCTCACTTGTTTTCCTCAGTATATCCCACTTGTTTTCTTCAGTATATCTCGCCTGTTTTCTTCAGTATACCTCACCTGTTTTCCTCAGAATATCTCACTTGGTTTTCCTCAGTATATCTCAACAGTTTTCCTCAGTAAATCTCACCTGTTTTCCTCAGTATATCTCACCTGTTTTCCTCAGCATGTCTCACCTGTTTTCCTTGTCTTCAATCATGTCCTCTACGATGTCTGCACATTTTCGGGCCAGTGTCGTGTGTCGGGCCAGCAGTTTCTGGTACTGGCTATGAGCCTTCTTAAGGAGCTGCACTTTCGCCGTTATCTGTACAGACAAGGGGGGGGGGGGGGAGAAATGAGATTGGTATTACCGGCTTTATTATCCTTTACAGAAAAAAGGTTTTGAGTCGTTTTGATTTATTGATATAATAGTATGGTTTATACAGATCGGCATTACAGTTATTTTATTTCGTTAACGTGAACATGTAATATTCTTATCACAATAAAGTTGTCAACCGATCTTGAGGACGACATGGTGTGGTGTACCCTTTATGTTAGCCTATGTACCCCGAGCCGTCAGAGTACACAGAAGGTACATCATACCATATATGCCCCAAGGGATCAGTTGACAACAAATTTATCTCGCCGACATATATTCAGACAGACCCGGAACATAAGTCCAAAGCTTTTTTGATTCAGCCATTTTGACAGCTAGTAGATAACGCAAACGAATCGAGTTACTTCCCTTTACCGAATGCGATCGCATAAACATCGGTTCATTTCAGCTCAACGATACTTATGCGAGATAAGCAAGTTGTGTAAGGTGTGTTCGAATGTGTTTCGTAGGGGCGACATTAGCGGGTACATGGAAATTAATTGCCAATCAGAAGCTAATAGTTTAATATAAGGTGAGATAAGAACTGTTGTCCTAATTAGGGAGCCCTGTATTTGAAATTCTTGGCAGGGTGGGGGTACAAAAATATGCCTTTGGTTCAAGTACAAAAACTGTATGGCTAAAAGCAGGGAACGAAACGAATTCTGTCTGTCTCTCTAAAACTAAAATGTGGGCCCTATAACAGGGCTGTTCCTGTACATTTCACGTGTTAATGTAAGCAGACAAACACTCACCCAGTCTCTCCCCCGTCTCCTCTCAGCATCTGCAACTCCATATCTGCAATCACAAATCACGATTTCCTATTAATGACGTTTCCATATTTAACTGAAAAACACATTTCAGTAGACGCTGGACGTAACACAACCTTACTTGTCCTTTCAACAGCAGGGTTCCTGGCGTCAAAGATACGTGGAGAATTTTGTAAAATATACAATGTGTCATTGTTTCGCGCCTCTTGATAAGTAATTAGGTTTCGGTTTATGAGAATGGGCTCTGAGAAAACTAGAGAGAGAGAGAGAGACAGACAGACAGAGACGCCGCAGTTTAATTTGTTTTTTATGTGACAGTGGTGTATATATAAATTATATATTGGGTATTACGTTGATTAAGAATACATATTTTTGTGTTTAAGTTGTAATTAATTCACATATTAATCGAACTTTCATTTTCATGGTAGCAAAAACATAGAGTTGGAACCAGCAGTTGATACTATATTTTTGTCTGTTAGGAAATATGCCCAACATGAATGGTTTGTCAGCAGTGGTGAAAATGAATAGTTTGAATATTCAATTTTAGTGTTTTGGTGTTAATAGTGAAAAGGAGGGAAACTTGAAAAACGAGAGAATACTCGGAACTACGAAAACACATGCCATTTAGAAAGTGGTCAAATGTAACAAATGTTACTTTTGGATTTACGCTTACTTAGCAAAGTACACATTCTAGTATTTTTGGGGTTCTCAGGGCGAACGCTCTACCACCAGACCACGGAGGCGGTCCCTCACACTCAGAGACTTAATACTGACAAACATCCCATGATGGAAAGAAACAACTTAAAGGGTAGTCAAGCAGCGATTGCCAAGAAACAGTCACAAAACATGTCGTTGGATAATCGATTTCCATTTACTGTATTTAAACGTGAGTATATTACCTTGAAAAGAAAAAAAAAAGTTTTTCGTTGGGAAATTGATGTAGGATTTAAAAACATCGATTATTAGTGTGGACAGATATAGCAAGCGTTGCATAAACTTTCTTTATGATGGTTTAACTAGGGATGTTTGTTGCAGTGGCGATGATGAAGAGACTGTCAGGCAGAGAGTTAGCGAGTAAGTTGGGTTTTATTCCGCTTTTAGCAATATTCCAGCAATATCATGGCAGGGTACACGAGACATGGGCTTCACACAGGGCAACCATGTGGGAATCGAATTCGGGACTTTGGCGTGACGAGCAAACCCTTTAACCAGAAGGCTACCGCCGGTTTCGCAAAAAGACCATCATGTGATCCTTGGCAGGTAATTAATGGTGAGGAGTGGGGCGGCAGGATAGCCTGCTGATTAAAGCATTTCCTTTACCCGGGTTCGATTCCCGACATGGGTACATGGTATGATGACTTCTCTTGGTGTCCTTCGCCATCAGACGGCTGGTATGACGAAGCACGCGGTATAAAACCAAACTCACTCAATAATGGCTCGGCATATTCCCGGGGCAAGAGCGTTAACTGACTTAGTCCAGTTTCCACAAATGCTGAGCAAGGCTGATATTTCGAGGTTCGATCGTAGCGCTATCTGTGACCATTACGAGCTACGCCCCTTCTATGTCCCTCCTATTGACCAATCAGATTCCAACTCTCATATAACTTGCATCTCCTTCAAACAAAAACGCGGCGCCCAATCAAGACGATTTGATCGATAATCAGGATATTTATTGGAATAAAATATGTCTTACCTCCCGAAGTAAATCAAATTACTTGAGCACTTTCATCAAAAACACATTAAAGACTTTGAAAACCTCTGTCGACGTCCAGTTAACGGTACACATAATCTGCAAATCCTGCAATCGACCGAAATCTGCACGGCAGTCGCCATGTTGTTTAAGAACTGAATGTCGATTTCGTAACGCGATTTTAATTGGACTATTTGTAGACTCGTTATTTCAGCTAAAATATAACTACATAATTCCAGGCTAGTTCGGCAAGGGTGGAAACTGGATTTTATAGTCAGATAACTCTTTTGCCTTGGGAAGATGAAAGTTTGGAGATTAGGTGTTATTTAAAGTTGGTTATGAGCCACTTTAAACAGTTACGTCACGACGGCCCGCAGGTACGAAATATGAGTGCTATAACGGACCTACACGGAGAACAAATGTCATTGGTTATTCGAACCCATGCTTGCCGTAAAGAGACAACTATGTTTGGCATAAGAGGCTAACGGCATAGGGTGGTCAGCCTCGCTGACTTGGTTGATGCATGTCATCGTATCCCAATTGCGTAGATCGATGCTCATGACGTCACTCACTGGATTGTCAGGCCCAGATTCGATTATTTACAGACCTCCGTTTTGTATCTGGAATATTGCTGAGTGCGGTGTTACACAATAAACAACGACAACATCTATCATGTTATAATAGTTAGTCTTGGATTCGAACCCTCAACCATAGGCACGGCATGCCTCGGGAACAGAACCTGGCAAACTGCGGTGTCCTACTGGGCCCCCATGCCCCCAGGTGGTACACGATATCAGAAGGTAGACTCAACAAGAGAGATAGCATGGCTCATTTCTGAACTGGTTTCATTTACAGCTGGTTATTCTGTTCATCACCATACTTGAAAAAAACATAAGGCAATCTGTGAGTCGCATTACGGCAGCGAATTCAATTTCACATATACAAGATACTTACTAATGAGTTTAGTTTTTTAAAACGTTATTTAAGACACGCTGTAGTTTTTCAAAACTGTGGTGCCACTGGTTTTGAACATAAGTTATTACGTTGGCACCAAAGGGAAGAATGTCTCTCGCGGATAAAAAATATACTTGACTTGCTGTTATAAATCCTTGATGTTTATCTCAAGATAATGTTTATTTTACACTTATTCCAGTGCACGCAACTCTCTATACCATCTTCTTTATAACTAACCATTAGTACAATTTTGAGCAAAGCTATTTTAGAAAATGGTCCAGCGCACACAAAATATCGCTAGTAAATTCTTCGTTTAGATAATATTTCATTGTTTTCTTTGAGGGAAGCGGTATTTCAAAAACTGATATTTTGGGCTGTTTACATATTTTCCATATTTGTGCAGTTTGTGTAATAAACACAGATGAGTTACGAAAATAGTTTAAATTACTCGACTGATAACAGTGAGTGAGTACTGTTTTACGCCGTTCATAGCAATACAACAACGAAGGACGTCAGAAATGGGATTTCCACGTTGTACCCATGTGGGGATCGAACAGATTTTTAGCTTAAACCACTCGGCTACCCCATCGCCCACACATACTAAAATGGATTGGTTACCTGTCTTTTAATTCTTCCAATGACATCGCCTCTTTCATCACAGTCTCCAGAACCTGTAACAGAAGGAGATACCGGAAGCTGGTTTGACTGTCGTGGCTGTACGCGACATTGATTGGACGAATTTGATCAATCGGTGCGGAAGTGACGTCAAATCCCATTTCCACCAGCCTCTGGAATGAAACAAAACATGTGTCACCGTCAATATGAACAATGAACAATGGAGCAAAGACGCATGGCTTTGACGATTTCAAAGAGCGTCATTCGACTATTGATCAAACAACTTCAAGGTCCCTGGAAAGCTTTATGGTAGACATGCGGAGGACAGTTCTATGTTTGAACCATCATTGACAACAATTATGTGCGATGTAATACCCTAGTTTCACATGTTTTGTGTGGCCCCATGTTTTATCGGATGAAGAATTGGCTTGCCTTTGCATGTGTTTGTGGCGGGTGACACCGGTGGGGTGTGGTAGTGTCATCACTATTTGGTTCATAAACACATGCTTCACGATGGAAATAGGTGCCCTAACGGACTAGAGGACATTTGTGGCCAGTCGTCTGGCGTGTCGTAATTCGCTGTGCTGAGTTGCGTCCCTTAGGTATGCCTGAATCCTGTCACCGTGAGTTCGAATCCCAGACCTAGATTTGCCCTAGTTGTTTATTTGTTTACCAGCACAGTTGTCAGCACTGTAACTGTTCTCGTGGGTTTCACAAAATGATAAATGTTAAGAATTTGAATCACTTCGGGCTACCTCCCTAATCAAGCAGACACGCCGTGATATAACTGAAATACTGTTCTAACCAAACACGCGCGCGCTATTCTTGCGGCAAGGAGACTGTGTAGTAACTAGTCACAAACCGAAGTTCACCGTGGACGGTCAGACAGAGGAAACTAATGTGACTCAAATAAATGGCAGATCGTATTGGATCAAAGGGGTCAGACATTATGCCATTGCAGATGCTTTCGCGTCACACATGCGGTGACATAAATGAAACACAGTCCCACGTGGCTCCCATTAACTCGGTTTCATAGATCGATCACACTCGGTGACTTGTTTGAGTGCTAAAACGAACACACAAATTAACAAAGGAATGATCATGATGCATTTAGCATAAGCTGTGAGAACCTTGGATTCGAACCCGGGAAAATAGGATCCTGGAAGACCGGTAAGCACCCTTGTAGCACGCGGCGCCTTACATCAGAGGAAAGGATAAGTGAGTATTGTTTTCCACACTGTACCCATGTGAAGATTGGAACCCCGGTTTTCGGACGAACGCTTTAACCACTAGGCTACCCAACTGCCCTAAAGCAATAGGGATTCAAGCACTATAATTACACTCAAAAACGATGACCCTCGTTCGAGTATCGTGATGCTCCGAATCAGAAGGTTGGCATTTGTGCGGATGAGTGAGTTAGCTTTTAGCTGTGTTAGGACGAGTAACACCAAGAGTGTTTCAGGCATTGGGACCATAAGGAGACTCGAACTCGGGTCTTGTGTGTGGCGAGCCAAAGCTGCAACAAAATTGCCTTGGTTTGTTTCTGAAGACCATTTGATATTTGGTCGTGTTGTATGGGAGTCTTTTCGAAAACTTAACTTCTGAAAACATGTTTTGTCCTCAGGGTTTTCACAAAATATTCTTAGTTGGAGGAGATGCTGGATGTCAAGAAAACACTGTGTTGGTGTTTACATTTCTCATCTTTGGAGGTACAATCGAGCAGGCTCTTTCTTCCAAAATGTCAAAGTGCGTCATACGACTCTTGTTCAGAAGTTGTTTGATCAAGGTTACAACATTCAAAAAGTATAATGGTAGACATGTGGAGGACATTTCCAAATTTGCTGCATCAGTGACAAGAATGATGTCCGATCCTATTCCCTCTTTGAACATGTGCCATATGTTCCCGTGGTGTTGTTTTTCAGATAAACAGTTAACTTGCCTTTGCATGTGTTTGTGACGGGTGCCACCGGTTGGGCAGATACGCTCACCTTTTCGCAAACATGCTCGCGATATAGTCGGAATAGTACTTATGAATATGGAAAGTGCTTTGTCACATATATTAAATTTGTAAAAACAAAAACAAAACAAAAAACAAAAAATATAAATCCTATATGTCGTAGTATCCGAAACAATTTTCTGTCTGTAGCCGAAATCCCAATCCCCAAACAAACCGACACCACCCCAGAATTTTTAATGGCGGGTCGTCAACGACCTCATCCGTTATTATTACCTTCAAGCCGCACATGTGCCTCTGTATTTTACCCTGCCAATTACAGGGACATAGTTCTTTGGTTATGAGTGCTATCACTCTGCAAATTGCTTTCTGAGTAGGCAGAGAAAATACAATGTACACTGCCGTGGATAATGGCGCCTGCGTCAGATGACTACTTTTTACCTGGGTTCCAAATTGAGGCCGTAATCGATTCCATGCCAAAGTAGAAAGATCGCGTGACAGAAAATTTGACTCAAATATAGAGAGACATCGTTCTTGAAACGAATTACTGAATTAATTCGAATTGTTCTTTTATGAAAGAATATAATTTCACTGTGCAATGTTGTCCATTTTAAAAATAAAGCTTTTAACGTTATATTTTTAATTAAAATTCTGTCGTTAGCGTTTCGTGAAAACACATTTATGTATTGAAAAGCAAGTCTTCAGCATATCAGACAATGATCACTGTATTATCTTCTATTTCCTCCCCTTTAACACTGTGAGGGATCAGGGACGGTAAAGACCCTCTTGGTCAGTACCGCATGATTGTAAGAATTGGGGGAATCGAGGTTCAGTGGGTGTAATATGTAGCAGTGTTCAAGTCATGAATCTTTCACAGCGCCATGGCTGTATTGAAGCCACCATTAATAGTCGGTGTAAGGTTGGTGGGTAGACTGAGTAGACTACTGGGTAGACATTTCTTATGTGTATATGTAAAGTTTCAGGTTAAGAGTCATGTGAAGCGTTCTGTGATGCATCGTGTGAAGTGTCGTTTGAAGCGTTAACGACGCGCCGTGTGAAGCATCATGTGACACATTATGTGAAGCGTCATGAGAAGCGTTATGTGAAGCGTCATCTGAAGCGTTATTTGAAGCATCGTGTGGAGCGTCTTGTGAGGCTTTATCTGAAGCGTCATGAGAAGCGTCATCTGAAGCATTATGTGAAGCGTCATGAGAAGCGTCATCTGAAGCGTAATGTGAAGCGTCATGTGAAGCGTCATCTGAAGCATTATGTGAAGCGTCATCTGAAGCATTATGTGAAGCGTCAAGAGAAGCGTCATCTAAAGCATTATGTGAAGCGTCATGTGAAGCGTGATCTGAAGCGTTATGTGAAGCGTCATGAGAAGCGTCATCTGAAGCGTTATGTGAAGCGTCATGAGAAGTGTCATCTGAAGCTTTATGTGAAGCGTCATGTGAAGCGTCATCTGAAGCATTATGTGAAGCGTCATGAGAAGCGTCATCTGAAGCGTCATCTGAAGCATTATGTGAAGCGTCATGTGATGCCTCATCTGAAGCGTTATGTTAAGCGTCATGTGAAGCGTCATCTGAAGCATTATCTGAAGCGTCATGTGAAGCGTCATCTGAAGCATTATGTGAAGCGTCATGTGAAGCCTCATCTGAAGCGTTATGTTAAGCGTCATGTGAAGCGTCATCTGAAGCATTATGTGAAGCGTCATGTGAAGCGTCATCTGAAGCGTCATGTGAAGCGTCATCTGAAGCTTTATGTGAAGCGTCATGTGAAGCGTCATCTGAAGCTTTATGTGAAGCGTCATGAGAAGCGTCATCTGAAGCATTATGTGAAGCGTCATGTGAAGCGTTATATGAAGCGTCGTGTGAAGCGTTATGTGAAGCGTCATGTGAAGCGTTGTTGGATGGTAGAACACTATTCACCACACTCTCGGGATTATAGAGATCGGAATTATTGGTAGAGTTGGTCGGGGTTCCTTCCTTAGGGAATGATACAGGGGCTGGGTGGTCCTAATGTGCTCCATGATGACTTTGGTCCTGACCCCATGGCATTGATTGGGATCTAACAGTGGTGTGTCTCGTCCAGTTCAGATTATTTACATTCTTCAGAAACCCATGCTTGCCCTAAGAGGCGATTATGCTTGACGGGTGGTCAGGCTCGCTGACCTAGTCGATGCATGTCATCGTATCCCAACTGCGTGGATCGATGCTCATGATATCAATCGCTGGATCGTCTGGTAAAGACTCGATTATACACCGACCGCCGTCAAAAAAGCTGGAATATTGCTGAGTGAGGCGTTAAACAAGCAAGCAAACAAACACACGATTATATACATTAACTATACATTGGCACTAAGCCTCATACGTCCTTGGGATTTCTAAAGAGCTTTTATAACCAACAATTTCGTTTGACATCAGGATTGATGAAAAGCGAAGCATTCATTATTTATGGAGAAAGTAAAAAGTTTCAATATCATTAAGAGTCTTTCTTACCCGAAAACGTTCTAGACAATAGGACTTTAAGATTCTTGACATTAACGGATAACTGACAAAAAGTGTAATGAAAATAGGCTTCATGCGCAAGCCTTGACCTCGCGACTCGAAATGAAGCCCGTGCGACGTCGCGTGATTATTTGAATGTCCTTGACCTTGAAACAAAACATACCTGAAGGCTAGTGATGTCGTCACGTTTCGCCGCCACGTGACTCGGGTTACCCCGCTTTTCTCGCAACGGCATGGGCTTCGTAGAACCAGCTGTGAGAGTTGAGAGATGCTCTAGAAGTATACCCGCCATTGCGTCCTGGTTAAAAAAAAAGAAGTAACATGAGAGTCATGATGTTCATCAACTTTATAGGGCAGTAACGTCAGAAGCCAGAGCGCACATATCCGTAGTGTTACCTCAGGTTTTGCCCGCCGTGATATTGTTGGAATATTGCCAAAAGCGGCGTAAAACATTACTCGCCCACCTCAGGTAATTACGTATAATCGTTTAACTTTTGTTATAAATATATGTTGATACACTTTATAAATAGGAGGGGTGGGGTAACCTGTGTTTAGACTGTTCTCTCGTCACAACGAAGGCCTGGGTTCTATTCCCCACAGAGGTACAATGTGTGAAACCCATTTCTGGAGCTCCGCGATGTGACATGGCTGCATATTGTTAAAAGCGGTGTAAAACCACAGCCAGTGTAATAATGTCATAAGGTCATCACCATTTCCAGTGTCCCCTGCTGTGATATTGCTGGAATATTTCTAAAAGCGACTTATTACTACTCTACTCCTATGTTGTGCTTTCTTCAGGCTCAGGTACAATAAACTCATCATATTTATCCTACGTTTTGGCGGCCATCTTGGATTTAAGAATAGCCACCATTTCTTGACCGTTCGATCCCATTGCTTATCACCTCGAGGTCAGGTCAGGTAGGTGAAATGCGGTTTCACGTCGCGTCCAAGGTTAATGCACTGAAAAAGTGACGACACTCTCTCACTCTCTCTCTCTCTCTCTCTCTCTCTCTCTCTCTCTCTCTGATGCGGTTCCTGGTTTTGTAGCACCATAACGTGCTCGTGGGTTTCAATCTGTAAAGCCCCTGAAAACTTTATGATTCGGTTATTCCTAGACCCCCCACATTGAACAGAAACGCTGTGATAAAACGGAAATTAAGAAATCTCACTCACTCATACTGGAATATTGTGGCCGGGTACTCAAACCCAAGTCGGACGCGTGAAGATCCGGGGTAGAATAGGTCTTCAGCAACCCATGCTTGCCGTAAAAGGCGACTATGCTTGCCGTAAGCGGCGACTAAGGGGATCGGATGGTCAGGCTCGCTGACTCGGTTGATGCATGTCATCGATCCCCATTGTATGGATTGATGCTCATAATATCAATCACTGGATTGTCTGGTCCAGACTCGATTATTTACAGACCGCCGTCATACAGCTGGAATATTGCTGAGAGCGGCGTTAAACAACAAACAGACAAACAAATAAACCCAAGTCAGTCACTCACTCAACAAAACTGCAAAAACTGATCTCGATGTCCGACCATGTCTGCAAGAGCAAGTTAAGCTCCCCCAGACTGGTACTGCGTTTGACAAGCGCTAGTTAGATATGAGCTGCGAAAGCGCCGGTACGCTGAGATGTGCGCTCCCCTGAGTTGATCTTCGTGACCGGGAAGCTATGCTCATTGTTGTGCGTGTGCTTTCTGAGCAATAACATCTGTATTTTTTATGATAAATTGGAGCGTGCAGCAATCTGATTGATCTAAAAACGTTGTTAAATGGAAAGGGATTCCGGAATTCGTGACGTCATTAGCTGCGCATGAGTACTTCTCTTTCTCAATCCCAAATTTGAAAAACGTGCCATCCGGCTTGGCGAAACGAATGCCGCATTAGTTATATATTAGGTTTGATCACTATCTGTCGTTATATTAGTTCCGTTTCTCAGAATTCTACAAATCAAGCGTGTTGCCGTGAAAGCAAAAACAATGACATTATCAATTGTATCATGAGGTCATACCATTCTAGACTGACGTCATGCCTGTCTCAGATAAATAACAGCGACAAAACCCTTACCTTATTCATCAGAAATCTCTGCCAAAAGCAGCGTCGATTGTACGATTCCGACTTCATCATGAGCATGTGTTTATGAATCACTATCAAACAGTGATGAAAACCAGGTGTTCGCGAATAGGTGTGCCTTTCCTAATGGTTTGTCAGAAAACCCCGGGAACGTATGGCAGCCAAGATAGGGTATTCTTTTGGGTTCATTGGGGTATTCAAGAACGGAAAACTTAATTTTACATTGAGCGAGTGAGTGGGTGATTTCGTGGTTGACTTCGTGCGTGTACTGAGTGAGGCAATGAGTCAGTGAGTGAGTGGGTGAGTTGGGTTTAACGCCGCATTTAACAGTATTGCAGTTATATCGCGGCGTGCCAGCTTGGGAGGAAAGCCCGAAGTGATGCAGGTCTTAAACGTTTACCACTTCGGTGATACCCACGAGAGCACGGGTATGGTGCGGACAAACCTAGAAACATATTCGGGTCGAACCGGGACTCCAACCCACAATCATATGTTTCTGGCGTGCCCAAGGGACGCAACTCTGCACAGCGAATCGCGGCGCCTTTCTTGAAAAATACGTTATTTTGGTGGTTTTTTATATATTTTCTAGAATAAGTTAGTGTTTTCTTTCCTTTATTTCTAGAACATTTGAGTTTGTTTCAAACATTAAATAGTGGGTCGCTTACAACCGAAAATGAAATCAAGTCATCTGTAAAATACCTAATTTAGAGATTTTTCAATACTCTGGATACAAAACAACGGACATGTTTCATCAGGTGCCAAACAAACAATGAAGACGGAGGTATTACTCTGGAAGCAAAATCCAATAAGCTGCAAGACGTACCTGTCTACACTGTATTGCATAAGACAGGAGACTGGACAGCTCGGAGAGACAGGTCGTGGACGGGTCGGAGAGACATTTGTGCAGGCACATCCTCATGCAGTCCACACGACCAAGCTGGAAATAGAAACAATACATCCATGTTAATACAAGCGACAAACCCTTTCCATATCCATACGAAATCTCTGCCCAACACAGAGTTGATTGTACGATTGCGACCACATCAAATAGTGATGACATAGGTGTTCACGGATAGGGAATTGCATCGGACATCATTTTGTGTCACGGATGCGTCAAATTGGACATTTCCTCCACATGCCTACCATACATTGTCTAGGACTTGAATGTTGTAACCTTTATCAAACAACTTTTGAACAAGAGTCGTAAGACATCTAAAGTTATGAAAAGAAACAATCCTCACATCATTTCAGCAATGATTTGACATCGAACAGGTTTGAAATCCACATACATGAACACCGATAGGCAAATGAAAATATTCACTTGAAGTCCACAAAATTGCGACCCCCGTGTGTACGTCACCTGTTGTAAGATATCTTTCATGTGTGTAATATCGCCTATGATACCCATATCAAATATATCACCATCGGATAACCACCTCTTGTTCTCAACAGTGCAAACATCATATTCATGTGTTCGAATCCTATAGTACTGATCTGAGAACATCACACACGTGCGTATAGTTTCAATCAAAGACGTAACCGTAAACAAATTATGTCACTTTGGGCTTCGTTTCACTTTAAACTGACAAGTCGTAATATAGTGTGTGAGTGTGGTATTCGCCGCTTTTAGCAATACCACGACTGGGACACCAGAACTGGGCTACACACAAGGTACCCGCGTCGTCGTGACGTGCCAACGCTTAAACCACTGGGATAATATAACTAAAATAAATCCGAAATCTCAGCCTCACTTCACGTTGTCATCTAGTACATCTAGTACAAACAAGTCACAGAACTAGAAAGACCCCTCCCCCCCCCCCCCCCCCCCCCCCGACCCCCGCTCCAGTTCAGTAGACTCTTTCAGCAAACATAGGAATCTGAGAAACCATATCATCCCATAATTTCACCATCACTATTGAAAGCCAGAAAAATTATTACACACCGATTTTAAAATTTGTTGTAATATAACGACGGGATATAGAGACTTTCAAGTTTTGCCTGAGAAGAAATGGCACTCCTTGAAAAGCCATTGAACTCTCCTTGCATAATCATGCATAACAGTTACGATGTTTACCAAACAGACGTCAGCCAAAAAGCATTCCCAACAGCGAAAAACACACACAAACATTACAAACACGAATTGGAAGAGACATTCGTCATTTGCTGAATTTCTGATTCGCATCACGAAGGGTTCTCTTGCCAACCAATGCACGCACAAAAAACCCACGACCACGCGAATGGTCATGAATAGCGATCCAACTCAATGTCTGAACAACGTTCATTCACAAGCTGCAGGAAGCAGCAGTACAACCAGCAATAAACGAGACCTGACTTCATTTTTTTCTTGTTAACTCGGAGGTTAGATTGCTATTCAGCGGTAATGTTTACTGACATCCACGATCGCCAAGTTTATGTCAGTTGGTAAATGGTTTATCGTTTGTACAGGAACTGTTATCGAGGTATAATGAGACGATTGAGCGGTTATTTTTAGTTTGAATCAAATCTAGAGCAATTACCGCGGGCGTTGGACTGAGTGATGTCCAATACACGTTCAAGAAACGTTGCAAATTTCAATTAGGGAACCCCGCGAAAACATGATTCCCGCATCGAGTTCCTTCTCAGTAATTGTGTTGCAAATTGTTAGGAGTGTTACGACGAAAATTATAGTTGAGTGCTGGTACCGTTCCTGTTCCGTAATGTTGTTTAATTGAAAGAGCTTTCTATATTTGGTCAGCGCTGATTGGATTGCAGCACTTGGAACATAATGCAGCGGAGCTTCTGAAGCACGTAGTTCTGTTTGTTTGTTCGTTTGTGTGTTTGTTGTTGAACAATCTAAGGATGAATCATCATCAGACAAGTACGGAGCTATACTGTCATATTTTTTATCATTCGCAGTATTGACAGCTGTCAGTAAAATCCACCACTGGTGAAGGACGAATCGTAAACACAACAAAATATAATTGAAAACATATGCTTCAAATAGTATCCAATTTCAAGCGGCATATAGATCTTGCAAAAAGTGTCTCTATTATTTAATATAAATGTAAACAGGTATATATGTTATGGTGGTAGATTCGCCTCGTTTATGTTTCTCTAGGCTTGTCAGCACCAGACGTATACTGCCATCGGAGTCAAAACCTTGATTCGTCTGTAAACATAGTATAACGCCATTGACGCACAGCCAGTCCCTGGTGTTGCCTTGCCCACCCCAATCTTTGCCGCCTGCGGTAAGCTATTAAGGTACCCACCCTTCAGAGGCCGCCTTGCTTGCAGACGGCGTTTTCAACGGCAGATGATGAAATTCTCCCTCCTGTTATTGTACGGAATTCTCTATTGAAAACAGGAGCAGATTTAAATTTGAACCTTCTATGTATTGCAATTAATGTAATGTCTCGTCCTGGTGTCAAATATAAGGCCTGATATATAAGGCCTCACTGCAACCACATCCGTTTGACGGTATTTGTCCCATAGTCAAAGAATTACACTTTTTGGTGTGCCAAAGATTCGGGCAACTTTGGATAACGACGACCCCCCCCCCCCCCCCACACACACACACACACACACCCGCCCCTCTCTCTCTCTCTCCCACACACCAACACACACACACACACACACACACACACACACACACACACACACACACATCTACTATCGTTTCCACAATTCGCGATTCTGTCCGTTCACCGAAATACTGTTTTGGAGGCATTTTTAGCGTGTGCAAACTTCAGTTGTATTAGCGATTGTCAGTTCCCCTATGGGCGCACGTGCATCGCGTGTTATTCATACATGACGTGAAATTTCATTGTGATTTCATTGCATTCAGATGTGTGTTTGTGTCTGTCTGTCTCTCTGTGTGTCTGTCCGTCTGTCTGTCTCTCGCTCTATGGCCTAGAATTACAATGTAAAGAACCGTTCTTTTTCATTCACACCGAATCCAATAACTTCTTTCTGTATTGATAAAAAAAGAAGTCAAAGTTGGTCTGTATAGTGAGGGAAGTTCATTTCGACTTGTTTATGACTTTTTTTAATCTACCTTCTCCTAAGAAACTCCACCGACAATAGGGTCAATACATCACTAGCAACATGTTGTCACAGACGTAGTTTGTTTTTTTAACATGACCCCACGGCTGTTTTTGTAAAAAAATTCAGTAAACCAAGCAATTATAATTGCCTGTGAAAGAACACCATAATAAAAGCAGCTTGGGAAGAATTCCATTCTGGTGGTGAGATCGGTGCCACGTGGCATAAAAAAACATGCCTCGATTCACCAAAAAGAATGGCATGTACGTCCATGTCTTTTATTCCCCCGTCGTTGCGCAAAGCAGTTCTGAAAGACAGTGCTAGTATTTCAAGTCTACTGACAGGATGTGCTTGTCACCTCGGTGTTTCAAGTATGTTAGATGTACCACCCACATGTAACGGTAAATGTACAGTGATAGTAATGGGTTTCTGTCATCAGTTCCAACCATTTCCGTTATTTAATGTTCAAAAGAATTAAACAACCCACATCCCATTCACCTTCGTTTATCTGCAAAAATGCTGGCTCATGGATTATGGTTTTTTCTCTTTGAAAATGTCCATTCGGGGAATAGAAAAATTACTCTCGGTCTTGAATAAATGTATAAATGTTAAACTAAGGTACATACTCATATGGGAATCATAGTTTACGCCTACGACGATTTTCCCTTACGTGATGTAAGATGTGTCAAGAAGACGTATAATTTGGAATAAAGGGTTATTGAGGTCATATTTTATACAACGTAAACGGATGAATTATGCAACACTTGCGACCATTCCACCATCTGGCACTCGATGGCACCACAGCATGAGCTGGTCTACGTTATAAGCTCCAGGTTTATCGATGCCTTTTAGAGTTTCACTCAACAGACAAATGCGTTTGGCTGCCGAAAATAACGACTTCAGTGTCGAGTTCCACCAATCATAGTCAAGAAGTAACTGCTATTTTGGGCTGTTTCCTTTATCGTGATGACATAAATTATCCCTTTGGAGAAAATATTGTAATTGCCCTCTTTAGGTCCTTGTTGTAGCCATCAAGTACATCCCTGAATTACGACGCATCCGGGTAAAGCATCAATTTGGGGACACAAATAACCTGCGCATTATTTCTGTTATCACCCTTCACTGGTACTGCTATTACTAGATAAAATATTTACGAGTTTTCTGTCCGTAGAAATGACCCGTGAAGATCCGGGCTTGAGTAGTCTTCAGAAACCATTGCTTGCTGTAAAAGGCGACCATGTTTGTCGTAAGAGGAGACTAACGAGATCGGGTGGTCAGGCTCGTTGACTTGGTTGATGCATGTCATCGTATCCCAATTGCGTGGATCGATGTTCATGATGTCAATCACTGGACTGTCTGGTCCAGACTCGATTATTTACAGACCGCCGTCATATAGCTGTAATATTGCTGAGTGCGGGTTAAATAACAAACAATACGTAGAATACAGAGATGAGCTTCTCTGGTTTAGTCCCATCGTCAATATTGGATCTATTGTGTGACTAAAACCAATAATGCCTATATATCATATAACAAAACTGTCGCGAAGGACATATAAAAGTATATTAGTTTTATATCACAGTTTTACTTAGAAAGCCGTTTTCAACACTGAAAAGATCAGACTATGACATGACGACGCCGTATAATATACGGGCAATGGATCAACCAAAGTCAGGCCACCATACCAGTAATCATGGCAACATGGCCTTCTGTAAGATATACACCGTCCCCCCAGCTGCTGGCGACTTTTGACAAGTTAAGCCGAAAATTAAAATAATATATTCTTCGAATAAAACAGTGGTAGACAAAAAACTACTTTGAATGACATGGTTTTACAATACCCTCTCAGGAGAGCAATAGGTTTGATTGAAAGACCCCCGAAGTGGGCTATATTGGTCGTCAGGGGAAATTACGTGAGCG